AGATGAAGTTTTCCTCATAGCAGGAGCCAGCATTCCAGCATACCAAGTTTAGGGCACATGAAATAGAATATTGGGTTGTAGAAATTCTATTGCTTTTTCAGACTTGTATTTGGGGGACAGGAGGCTTCTAGTTGAAGCGGGGCACTTCCAGGACACTACAAGGAATCTACACTTACTAGAATGCATTTAAACAAACAAATAACTGCAGTACTCATTGGTGTTCTGTTTTAGATCCCTTTCATAATAATTCCTAACTCTGAATTTGCCTTTTTCATAGCTGCATTGCACTGAGCTGTCATTCTTTGTGAGTTTTCTGATGTGCCCTATCAAAGAATTCTTCATCAATCCCCAATCCCCAATAATATCAGATACTGGAAGACACTCCCAAAAAAATTCAGATACGGAAAACCCCCTTTTTTTTTTTTGTAGTCTCAATGTGTATTGCTTAGCTTGCTATTCATTGGCTGTTTTCTCACCTAGGTAATCAGTTCTAAAAAATATTTTTGGAGTTCTTCAGGCAAAACCAGACATTACCATGGCAAATGTACGTTCCTAAACCTGCATTTGCTGAGGGGGGGGGGGAATGCAGTAGCAGGGGATAGACACCCCTGAAGTTATTCGGTGGGAGGAAAGGATGTTTAGCAATGCCCATGAGGGCCATTTCTCTCCAGCCAAATACTCCCCATGTGAGGCTGGTGTTTTCTCACCTGCAGTTTTAGTTTTAGACCCCAGTGAGGTCAAAACATAAATTAAATAACACACTGGGGGATATTTGCAAGGTGGAATTGGTGGGTGAAGGAAGGGTAAAAGTAGACTCGCCCACCCATCACTTCTACCCTTCTGGTGTCCTGCACCTCTACAGCTCTATGGGAGCATTACTTGAGAAAATCTGTGGTATTAAGTACCTGTTTTCTTTTACTGTCTTAGTCTAGTTTAATTATGAATAGACAAGTGAAAGATGGTATAAAATGCTGTACATCTATAAATAAACACCACTGGAGGAAGCCCACCATGAATGATGATCCCCTGTTGCTCAGACTGTTTATTTCTACCCAGTCCTTCCTGTCTTCTAACCAGTTACTTATTAACCTGTATCCTTTTGTCCCGTATAACCACCAGTCTCAGCTAAGGTGATGCACCTCATAGAAAGCATCAACTCTACCAGTGGGGAGCATACAGTGACGTGCATCACAGAAGGAATGCCCCTGCCAGAGGTGGTCTGGTATACCTGTAACAATGACAAACGGTGAGGCGATAACTTTCCTAGCGTGCCTTTGTGTGTAGACTTTGGAATGTAAATGGATGGCGATAAAGATGTCATGGGATTCTCCATACCTAAATTGTATTAACTATGTTACTTGTCATGATCTATGCTTCCATAGGATAACTTCAATTATCTTCTGATAACATATTTTTTAAGCTTGTCCTCATTCATGTTGAAGTTATCTTTTATCTTGTCAGTTCAGTAACATTTTTTTAAAGCCTTCATATGATGGGATTAAATTTGAGTCCAGTCCAGCTTGTACCCAGAATAAAACTTTGTTGATCATAAACGTGCCACTGGAGTCAAACTTTATTCTGCTGCTTCATACCAACTCGGCTATCCACCTGAATCTGTCATGATAGGATTAGTTATTTTAAGCCATTTTGTTTGGAGTCATTCGTTTGTGCTGGCCTGTTTTTTGTCTCTCCTGCTCAGAAAGATGTGACTAGGGGTTGCCAAGTTTGGCTTGGGAAATTCCTGGAGATTTGGGGGTGGAACCTGGGGAGTGCAGTTTTGGGACGGGAGGGAACTCACCAGGGATGTGATGCCATACCCTCTGAAGCTGCTGTTTTCTGCAGAGGGAGTCTGGGGGTCAGTAGTAATCATGATAGGATTAAACCATTTTGTTTGAAGTCATTTGTTTGTGCTGGCCTGTTTTTTGTCTCTCCTGCTCAGAAAGATGTGACTAGGGGTTGCCAAGTTTGGTTTGGGAAATTCCTGGACATTTGGGGGTGGAACCTGGGGAGTGCAGAGTTTTGGGACGGGAGGGACCTCACCAGGGAAAGATACTACTGGACCCCAATTTTATTCTGTGCTACTATCCTCAGCTATCTTTTCTTCTTGCCCAGCCCTAGTACATTCAGCAACAGATAAATCTGGCACCCTTTGGAAAGACAAATTTGGCCCACACGCCATCAGTTTTCTATTATTACTCTAAGATGCTTGCCTTTCTAACTATAAAGAAAGGCAGATACATTTCTCTCCCCCTTCCCATCACTGCTAGTTGCAATATTATATAATTCTGATTGAAATAGCAGCAAGAAAGCACATTGGAATATAGAGCTGTTGTTGCACAGGTAGTTTGTAATATCAAACTATCTTCTACAAACTACCATTGGACTCTTTCTGTTGTATGCTTAGAAATAAAGTGTGTTGATTCCAAACTACTCAGTGTAGGAACCACTGAACTGTTTATTACTTGGCCCTAAAAAGCAGCCATGGGGGGGGTGATCTAAATGAGTGTTGTGGCATTGAAAAAAGGGATATTAACTCTTCCTTCTGCACACTCCCTAATTGAAAATAGCTGCCTCATAGGGAGAAAAACAGTTACCACCCATTTTCAGAGAAATGGTGTGGAGAAAATAATTTTTTTTTAAGTCTCTTCCAAGTTCTGTGGGGGCCCTAATCCATAATAGTCCCAGTGCCACAGAACCTTTTGGGGGCCAAATAAAATGTAGAGACCATACTATCATGGGCAGTTTGGCTTTTGCTTGATTCATTTTGAGAAGATTTTCTTTTGTGGCTTAAAGAATTATGGTTTGCGATTTTGAGAAGTCATTTATGCACGAGCAGTTCACAAGAAACACATTTAAACATAACTCTTAAACCATCAGTTTAATGTTCACTGATTTCTCCCTTCCACAAAAAGGTGTAATGGGGAAGCAAAAAGAATTCTGGGAAATGCCTCTGGAGAGATGGATCTACAGACAAATTTCACATACCAAGAGGACCTGATGATTTACACTGTGACAAGCAAGCTGCACTTCCACAGAGTAAATGAGCCGGTCTTTATAAGTTGTGTTGCTCAAAATGCTTTGGGCACACATGCTCAAAACATCACCCTGGTGCCATACAGTGAGTCTCACAGCACATGTCTTTTAAATACTTGTGTGTTTAACTGCCTTTGTTGCTTGCTTTGAAATTCTGGGACGTGTTCTAAGTGTCTGCAACATGTAAAGCTCATCTAATCTAATATTCCAGTAATAAAAGGGTTAATTTTAAATTAACTAAAGCAGAAGGTCCCACAGTACTTAATGGCATCAACTCAGAAAACAAAATCACAGAGCTCCAAAAGCAGTTCCCATTAAAAAGGTGAAGAACTAACAGACCCAGTTTGTCTCAATTAGCCAATAGTCAGTATCAGCCAACAAAGCTACTATATGGTTCACCATCTTCACTCTTTTATTTTACTTTAGTTACCCTAAAACATGAAGAGGTTTGAGAAAAGCTGAGCGCACCAGATTATTTGTTCCTTCTTTTTACTAGTGAATCAAGCCACAGGGGGCAGCAAAGCAACCAGTAACATTTTACTACTGCGTTGTAAAGTATTATTTCCTTGCTTCAGAGGGAGGCAGAAATAAAGTACTGCATTGTCTTGCTAGCAAAGGTAGAAGTGCAAGTGGAACCAGCACGCCTGGGAATCCATATAGTACCTGAGTTTTTGTTTTCTTTTTTCAGTACTTTGTTGGTATTTTTCATATGTTCGTGTGTGTGTGTGTGATCTGCCTTGAGTCCCAGTGAGAAAGGCAGACTATAAACAAAGTAAAGACTGGATGACTACAGATTTTGTGCTGCAGAATTGTTGCTCTCTGCATATAACACCTGGCTCAGAATGCCTCCATAGAATGAACTATGCAATTCTTCATTAAATGCTGTTGAGTGAAATCAAGAATGGGTCTGAGTACAAGGATGCAGAAGGATGCCTTATGACAGTGTGCACTTGCTAAATATTTTTCTTCCAATGTGAGTTGAACTCGTGTATATTGTTTTACAAACATATTTTCTTTATGTAAAGCCACTTTGAAGGTCCCTGTGGTTTTTAAAAAAACAACCTAAAAGCCAAATATAAATAAATACAGCGTATTTTTGA